GTTGTTTGTAAACAAATCGGGTCTGAACCAGACAATCCAGTGATTGTCACCATGCGATAAGATGACACAGCATGTGTTTATTAATCACGATGAAATAGTGATGATACCAGGTGTTCGCGAAAAGGTGAGCGTATCCTGCCCCACCGGTGGCACCCGTCATGAACATATGCTACGTCTTGTCATTTGTTCACCTGAAATAATTCGGTAACGTATGGTATAAGTCAAAATAGGGAATTGCATCGGACATATTTTTTCGTCACTGATGCATCAAATTTTGAAATGTCCTCCACATGTCTACCATAAATCTCCTTGAAAGCTTTAATGAGGCCTTGAACCTTGATGAAACAACCTCTGAGCAAGAGTGGTAAGACGCGCTTAGAAATCCTGATAAAAAGAACACGCTCGAATGGACCTCAAAAGTTGTGAAAGATAAAAACACCAAAGGCTGGAGCTGTTGGAATATTGCTCGACATGAAAGGGAAGTTCACTATTGGAAAGTTGAAATCATCCCTTTTGTGATACAGCTTTCTGGAAGTCTTTTGTCACTCTGAATCTTTATGCATAGATCAAAATATGAAACAGTTGAGGCAGTCTCACTTGTCTCCTTAATTTCAAGTTTAGGTGGGTAAATCAGTGGAAGGCAATTGGCTACTTCTTGGCCAAATTACCTTGTTTTGATTTTGCCAACTCAAGCAGAAATTCAGATTCATATGCATAAAGAAACACATCCGCAAGGAGGGAAACACAATTGGGGCCCATGAGGATGCCCTACTTCTTGGCGAAATGTTTTACCTCCCAGTTTCACAAAGATGTTATCAATCAGAAAATACAGCATTTCACATATTGATTTCTTGGTAAACTTCAAATGACATTTGCTTTCATTTTTGACAATTTGTCCTGAACCTCTGAAGATTGATATATAGGTATAATTTTGTTCACCACGTTTGATTACGAAAGCCCAATGCATCAAGGAATGATGTTTTTCCTTAAGTTTGTTATGAGGGATAGTGGTATACAATGTTGAAAAATCAAATGTTTTGACAGACTCTGTCAGTTTCTGAGATTCTTAAAATGTAAGCAAATCCTTTGAGTTTTTCAGAATCCACATGAATATAATCCTCTTGTCTCAAAACATTTCTGTGAATGTCGAGAAAGTTGTTCCTTAAGATCTTCCTCCACAAGTCATACACTTCTTGAAAACTTTACCGAGACTTGAATGTTGAAGTCTTGATCAAACAACTTCTGTTAAGTAGTAGTCTTAAGACGCTCTTTGAAATGTTAGTGAATAGTGCGTGCTTGTATATACCTCAGAAGTTCTGAAATATCGACACGGTTCTGACGTGCCCGACATGGAGGCTATGTTGACTGTTGAAGCGTTGGTTTTGGTATGCAATATACAGGGACAACGTACAGGAGGAACCATTTCAAAATATATTTTAAAAAAAACGCTTGTCCGTATTTCAATAACTAAAATGGTACCTTTTGAAAGGCAGACGAAATTCAAACTGATTTGTTTTCACCTACGATGACCCTGACTTTATTTCTCTTGACAAAGAAGAGCATTTTACTCTTTGAAATGTAATATATTTTCGATTTTACAGATGCTGATGGTGATAAAATATGTTGAGTTTATGAAATAGTGTAATTGCATTGTATTATAAGCAGCTTCAATCTGAAATGTAGCCACTCCTACGTGTTTTGGGAATGTATTGTATGACGTTGCTTGCCTTTGTACAGATGCTATGTGACATTCTGAAATATATTGGAGCATTGAAATTGATTAAAATAACACTAGTTGGATACTGGGTTGTATATTTCACATTGGAACTACATTCAATAGTTTCACGTGACAATCACATTGTGGTTTTGCGCCGCTTTTAGCAAACGTCCAGCAATATCACGGCAGGGGACACAAGAAATAGGCTTCACACATGGTACCCATCTGGGAAATTGAACCAAGGTCTTCCGCGTGACGAACAAACGGTAACCACTATATCTTACAGCGACCACTGAACCAATGACGTGAGTTGAATGACTGATATTGTACCACTTTCATCTGCCCGAGAGAATTAGAGTGAACAGGATGGAAGAGAACAGGCAGCTTGTATTATATGATTAGGATTTGAAATATTGTACGTATGGTTGGAAGCACCGTTCTAAATGTGGACATATCTTTTTTGATGCGTACAGACGAAAATTGTAAATCACTATTGATTGTTTATAAGATACCCTCATTTTCTCATGTGTTGTTACTTGAGGAAATTGCTAACTGCTGATAAGATTTACACATTCCAAATACATAACAGCATGTTAGTTACTGAATTGTTTTTGGAAAAAATAATATGTTCAGCTTTCGCTTCACTATTTCTTCAACTTATATTGTGGGGGGGGGGGCAGTCAGGTTGCGCTGATTTCGAAGAAATGACTCAGTGAAATTTATGCAGAGCAAATTTATAACAGTTAGCGATAAAAGTAAAGCATACATGTTTTTTGTCAACATCCTTTTGAAACATTGTGTGTTTGGTACTGTTATTGTGAACTAGTCGAGATTATGAATATTTTATTCTTTAACTTCAGATATATTTCTTATATTTAAACTACCTGTAACCTCTACGAATTGTTTTCCGATACATCTTTTCTATGTGCGGAATCAAAGTAGGGTTTGCTAACAAATTGGCTACCTTATCACCTATAAGGGACTATCTAGCATGATGACAATTGAATTACTAAACAAGCAGAATATGAACGGTATGTTCTTGATATTACATCACTGGAGTGACGCCATGAGTGCAGCTGTATCACTGGAGTGACACTAGGAGTCCAACTGTGTCACTGTCGTGACGCCAGGAGTGCAGCTGTATCACTGGAGTGACACTAGGAGTCCAAATGTGTCACTGGCGTGACGTCAGGAGTGCAACTGTATCACTGGAGTGACACTAGGAGTACAGGTATATCACTGGAGTGACGCCAGGAGTGCAGCTGTATCACTGGAGTGACGCCAGGAGTGCAACTGTGTCACTGGAGTGACGCCAGCAGTGCAACTGTATCACTGGAGTGACACCAGGAGTGCAACTGTGTCACTGGAGTGGCACTAGGAGTCCAGCTGTATCATGGGAGTGACACCAGGAGTGCAGCTGTATCACTGGAGTGACGACAGGAGTGCACTTGTATCACTGGAGTGACGCCAGGAGTGCAGCTGTATCACTGGAGTGACGCCAGGAGCGCAGCTGTATCACTGGAGTGACGCCAGGAGTGCAACTGTATCACTGGAGTGACGCCAGGAGTGCAACTAAATCACTGGAGTGACACCAGGAGTGCAACTGTGTCACTGGAGTGACACTAGGAGTGCAGCTGTATCACTGGAGTGACACCAGGAGTGCAGCTGTATCACTGGAGTGACGCCAGGAGTGCAGCTGTATCACTGGAGTGACGACAGGAGTGCAACTGTATCACTGGAGTGACGCCAGGAGTGCAGCTGTATCACTGGAGTGACACTAGGAGTGCAACTGTATCACTGGAGTGACGCCAGGAGTGCAACTGTATCACTGGAGTGACACTAGGAGTCCAACTGTATCACTGGAGTGACGCCAGGAGTGCAACTGTATCACTGGAGTGACACTAGGAGTGCAGCTATATCACTGGAGTGACGCCAGGAGTGCAGCTGTATCACTGGAGTGACACCAGGAGTGCAACTGTGTGTCACAGGAGGCAGTGACGAGTGCAACTGTATCACTGGAGTGACGCCAGGAGTGCAACTGTATCACTGGAGTGATCACTGGAGTGAGTAAAAGCAACTGTATCACTGGAGTGACGACAGGAGTGCACGCTGTATCACTGGAGTGACACTGGAGGAGTGCAGCTGTATCACTGGAGTGTGACAGCTGTATCACTGGAGTGCAGCTGTATCACCTGGAGTGACAACTGTATCACTGGAGTGACACTAGAGTATCAACTGGAGTGTGACGCCAGGAGTGCAGCTGTATCACTGGAGTGACGCCAGGAGCGCAGCTGTATCACTGGAGTGAGCCAGGAGTGCAACTGTATCACTGGAGTGACGCCAGGAGTGCAACTGAGACACTAGGAGTGCAACTGTATCACTGGAGTGACGCCAGGAGTGCAGCTGTATCACTGGAGTGACACCAGGAGTGCAACTGTATCACTGGAGTGACACCAGGAGTGCAACTGTATCACTGGAGTGACGCCAGGAGTGCAGCTGTATCACTGGAGTGACGCCAGGAGTGCAGCTGTATCACTGGAGTGACGCCAGGAGTGCAGCTGTATCACTGGAGTGACGCCAGGAGTGCAACTGTGTCACTGGAGTGACGCCAGGAGTGCAGCTTTATCGCTGGAGTGACGCCAGGAGCGCAGCTATCACTGGAGTGACGCCAGGAGTGCAACTGTGTCACTGGAGTGACGCCAAGAGTGCAACTGTATCACTGGAGTGACGCCAGGAGTGCAGCTGTATCACTGGAGTGACAGCTCAGGAGTGACGCCAGCTGTATCACTGGTGACACCAGGAGTGCAGCTGTATCACTGGAGTGACACTAGGAGTGCCAGCTGTATCACTGGAGTGACGCCATGACACTGTATCACTGGAGTGACGCTGGTGGAGTGCAGCTGAGTGACGCCAGGAGTGCAGCTGTATCACTGGAGTGACACAGGAGTAGGAGTGCAGTGCAGCTGCTGTATCACTGACTGGTATGACACCAGGAGTGCAGCTGTATCACTGGAAGTGACACTAGGAGTGCAGCTGTATCACTGGAGTGACACTAGGAGTGCAGCTGTATCACTGAAGTGACACTAGGAGTGCAGCTGTATCACTGGAGTGACACCACGAGTGCAATGGTGTCACTGGAATGACACCAGGAGTGCACCCGTATCACTGGAGAGGCACCAGGAATGCAGTTTTGTCCGATTTGTGGCTTGGAAGGTCCGGACAAAAGATAGCGGAACCGTACTGTACTTTAATAAGTCAGTTATGTGTCACTGCTTACAGTGACCACTGAACCAGTCACGAGACTTCGATGACATATATTGTACTGCCCTAACCTGCTCGTGTGAATCAGAGCGAAAAGCTTGGAAGAGAACAGACAGCTCGTACTTCATGATCATGATTTGAGTGGGAAAGCACCGTTCTGAACGTGTACATATCTCTTCTGACGCGGTACAGACGGAAAGGTAAATCATTATGATTGTCTATAAACTGCTCTCTTTTTCTCACCATGTTATGTTTTCTTGATTTAGATAGGGAACGGCTTTAAGAAATCAACATCATTGTTGTATTACCTTGTTAATGTCTAAACAGTTATTATTGAATTATGTCTCCCCCGAAGGGTGGGGAGACATATTGTTTTTGGTTGAGTTTCCGTCGGCGCCGGCGTTCCTATTGTTTCCGGAACATAACTCTAAAACTACTTGAACAATCTTCACCAAATTTGCTATACTGCCTCTCCATATCATGTAGATGCGCGTTTTGGGGGTTTGAACTATTCTTTTAATTTTTTTTTCTGTTTCAATGGCAACAAATTTGGACTTGGTCGTGTTGAAGGGTAGGGTTTGTGTTCGGAGCATAACTCTAAAACCACTCCCCCCATCTTCACCAATTTTGTATACTTAATACCAATTATTAGTAAACGTAGAAGCATCAACCATATACATGTACTACTATAAACTCTGTGACTGAAAAACAACAGATTCATTCATGTATTTCGAAACTGAATCATTTAGAATTCTGAATGTTTTGTAAAATATAACTGTGGAGTTGTTGATTTGTTGATAAACAATTAAGTTCAATTGAACATAAAAATACTAAATGAAGACCTTACAAAAATAATAACATACTATCAATAATATATATTTTTATACTTAGAGATTTTGAAAGTGAAGGAATCAAATGATTGTTTGAGGTCTCAACGTTGAATTGGGGAAGGGGAGACATCTGTTTTACTGAAGTTACGCCAGGGTACAAACGTGTCATGGATGTGAAGTAGGAATGCAGCTGTATCATTGAACTGACACTAGGGTGCAGCTGTATTATTGAACTGACACCACGGGGCAACTGTATCACCGGGCAGCACCAGGAGTGCAGCTGTATCACTGGAGTGACACCACGATTGCAGCTGTATCACTGGAGTGACGCCAGGAGTGCAACTGTATCACTTGGGTGACGCCAGGAGTGCAGCTGTATCACTGGAGTGACGCCAGGAGTGCAGCTGTATCACTGGAGTGACGCCAGGAGTGCAGCTGTATCACTTGAGTGACGCCAGGAGTGCAGCTGTATCACTGGAATGACACTAGGAGTCCAACTGTGTCACTGGTATGACACCACGAGTGCAGCTTTATCACTGTAGTGACACTAGGAGTCCAGCTGTATCACTGGTATGACACCACGAGTGCAGATGTATCACTGGAGTGACACTAGGAGTGCAGCTGTATCGCTGGGGTGACACTGGGAGTGCAGCTGTATGACAAGTGACACTAGGAGTGCAGCTGTATCACTGAAGTGACACTAGGAGTGCAGCTGTATCACTGAAGTGACACTAGGAGTGCAGCTGTATCACTGGAGTGACACCAGGAGTGCAGCTGTATCACTGGAGTGACACTAGGAGTGCAGCTGTATCACTGGAGTGACACTAGGAGTGCAGCTGTATCACTGGAGTGACACTAGGAGTGCAGCTGTATCACTGGAGTGACACTAGGAGTGCAGCTGTATCACTGGAGTGACACTAGGAGTGCAGCTGTATCACTGGAGTGACACTAGGAGTGCAGCTGTATCACTGGAGTGACACTAGGAGTGCAGCTGTATCACTGGAGTGACACTAGGAGTGCAGCTGTATCACTGGAGTGACACTAGGAGTGCAGCTGTATCACTGAAGTGACACTAGGAGTGCAGCTGTATCACTGAAGTGACACTAGGAGTGCAGCTGTATCACTGAAGTGACACTAGGAGTGCAGCTGTATCACTGAATATATTTAATATATTTAATGCATTTTATAACATAAAGGAACATTATTGCTGTTGATATAGGTAGCACGAACAACTTCAGTGTATGTACTGATACAGATATTAAGTTAGATGTGTCATAGCACGGGGTAGCCAAACCTTATGTGAAATATATGGAGGTGTATTGCGTACATGACTTCTGCTGTCGAGCTCATTGTGGTTCCACTCTGTGTACCTTAACACATGCCATTCGCTATTTCAAACTTAATCTAAATTACACCACATGGTAAGTGAGTGAGTATGGTTTACACGCCGCTTTTAGCCCGAAATTTGAATGTAGAAACTAAGCAAAAGATTACAAAAAGGTAAAATACTATTATTTATCAGGCCATAATCGTGCATGATTTAAAAGTGCATTATAACTTAACAAGTCGGTGAGAGTGATATATTTAAAAAATGACCCCATGGAAATTCACTGGCCAGTCGGGCCAGTGACTGTGGAGATTTACTGTCCCGGCTGGATTTTTACTAGCCACGGGCTAGCGGGCCAGTGAAAATGAGATGCCTTTTGAAAATGGTATTTTTCTGTAAAATCAGATCAGGCAGTTGGGATAAGGTGGCATGCAATATTATGATCAAGTACACAACGAGCAAACATCAAACAAACTTTAACACACGAACAGGTGTCAGGTACATAAACTTGGCGACCCATATGAAATTTTACAGATTAAAATAAATTGCAGCAGAGGAATAGGTTGGGGATCCTAGCACATTCAGGCTGGTTAGGCTTTCATCAGCCCAGGTACTATCTTAATTACCAGTCGATGAGTGCACCTTCACAGCTTGCTTTGTGGAATTAAGAATATCATGTGGGTCAAGTCAGGGCCCAAGCACACGATCTTTAAGTGTAGATGAAGTTGTGGTATCACGGGTTGGTTGTTGATAATCTGTTCGTTGCAAATACTTGCTATAATTATATGTTTGGATCAGTGCCAGCTAAAACAGATCCATTAAACTCACCACGTGGAACCATATTAGATGCTGACGAGAACGATTCTTCAATAAACATCCAGGGGTAGGCTCTGTAGAATGTGCTGACTAGACATGTCTTAGGGGCCGTTCATAATTTATGGCTAGGGGGTTGGGGGGTTGATGATGATTTTAAGGGGATCCATTTTGTTCTGGGGGTAGGGGTCGTCAGTTTTGTACATATGTGCTCGGGAGTGGGTCAGCAATTCTGTACATGACATGCAATTGCAAGGGGGGGGGGGCTACTTTGCACATCAATTTTAGGGGGGTCATTCATATTGTATCATCACCCCTACTCCCAACCCCAGGGTTAGGATCAGGGTTAGTGTGTCTTTGACATTAAGAGCGGTCCCACCACAACTAGTATCAGTGATCCTTACGAAGTGGTTTCTGAAAGCCAGGCATGAGAATTACGTTGTCAGAATGGCGGTTCGCAAAGTTAGTTTTCAAAAGAGCTTCGGTCTGTTAAGCATTAGCGTTGAGACGCTCTTTGAAATATTAGTGAATAGTCCATGCTTGAATAAGTTCTGAAATATCGACACCGTTCTTACGTGACTGACTTGAAATCCAGGTTGACCTCTGGAGCACGCAGTGTGTATAGACAGACAGACAGACATTTTATTCAGTAACAAGCCACTGGCCCAAAATACATTCATAAATATGATAAGAAGTTACATGCGTTTTACAAGGGAGACTATATAACGTTGTAGATTATCCCTGGTTTTACATAAAAACATCAGAATCTCTTATTTTCCCAACATTATATAAAAATAGGCACAAATTATTTGTAAAATTTATGTTTGTTGAAGTCATTATGTTTATAAAACTGTGTTGTGAAATTGGATGTTTCAAATATTTACCCAGAAACTTATTCCTTATATCTAAGTAGGCTTTACAATAAAGTAAAACATGTATTTCATCTTCAGTTAAATTAAGATTATTTTTGTAGCAAAAAGAACAGAATATTGAATAATAAGGGACATTGTTATATCTACCGGTCTCAGAACTAAGTATAAATTTACCGCATCTAAATTTTGTTAAACAGTTTCTTAAATATGGGGCAATACCTAAACTGAGAGAAGTTTCAACATTGTGTATAAGGCACCATGAACAGAAGGGACCATTTCAAATGTATTTGAAAACACACGACTGTCCGTATTTCAATAAGTAAAACGGTACCTTTTGAAAGGCAGAGGGAATTCAAATCTGATTTGTTATTCTGCCAGTTCGCCACGACCCATTTTCAATCTTTGAAATTTGATTTGAGTATCCTTTAGGGTGTTATGTGAATATGACCATAAAATTTCTGAATACACAAGGAGTGAGAGTATTGCTAGAATACTTTTAGCAGTAGTAGTGCTAGTATTAGTAAATGAGTGAATGAGTTTAGTTTTACGCCGCTTTAGTACTATTCCAGCAATATCATGGCGGTGGACACTAGAAATGGGGTTCACACATTGTACCCAAGTGGGGTATCGAACCCGTGTCTTCGGCGTGACGAGCGAACGCTTTAACAACTAGGATACCCCAATGTAAGACACCAGCTCTGAATTTGACCAATACTTTACGGAATTTATATTCCTAATTTGAAGACACCCCTGACTGTTCCTCTCTTTGCAGCCATCCCTCGTAACAAATAGTGAAGTTTGTCAAACTTTTAATGATAGTTTGTTAAACAACTTTTTCATTTTTAGGATCTAAATTCTGCGAAAACATCACAGAGTTGGTCTGATGTTTTGATTATGATCAGTGTTTTATTAAGTATTATATGTTTAGTAGTTTTCGAGTTAGATTGCAATTCATCGGTCCGATTTTGAGCCAAACGGACTACGGTATATAATGTATTTATAGTGAAATACATTATTGACGGGAGTCAAACCAAACCCAGTCACTCAAGCGTGCATTATAGGTTGCGCACGTCGTGAACTCAGCCTCCGAGTCGATGACCGCATCAAAGGACGACCTACATAGAGATCGATATATCGATCTGTACCAGCTAAACAATCCCATGACGATGTACCTTCTCGTCATTACGTGAAGTAATTACGGATCTAAACTTCTCGGAGAATCCTTGTGAATTGATTTCTGTCCGCGGACTTAATGGAACTAAGGTAATGTTGATTTACGTTTTCCTGAAACATGCGAAAAACCGCTGTACATGTATTGATTGTATATGTAACGGAATTCCAGCAATGCTATTTGCGCC